TGAAAACAAATGGTATCTTCAATATTTAATTTTTCTTATTTTCTGAATATGTTGTATTAAAATTGAGATTTTAAAAATGTAATATAGAGTTTACATGCTTACTGAAAACATGAGTAGGGGAAAATATACCACACTGTCTTTTGTTAAATTTTTCTAAAATTAAAATATCTCTACTTCAAATAATATCTCTTTATTACTGCTTTACTTGTAAATTTCATAGCATTTAAAATATTAAAGGAAGGCAATCTTATACCAATCTGAGAATGTGAAGTACTAAGAGTTCTTTTGACATTTAATAGCAATAAATGAAACAGCAAATCCTTTTTAAGACCTGACATATAATGATCTTTATTTATAGCAGCTTATTCTGGTAAATTCTGCCACTTAAACCATATTAGTAAAGAAGTGAAAAAAATAACAAGAATCCGAGGTGATAAACCAATCTGTATCAATTGCTTAAATATCACATATTGTTTGGTCCCCAACTTAAGTTTCATTTCAGATAGCATAGCAATTTTAAATTGTGGCTTAAATCAAAGTAAATTTAAATATTTTCACTTCAAACTTTATCACTTTTGGGTCCATATTGAACTTGAGTTAGAAGAGGTGAGTCCAGGATCAGAATGGAGATAAAACTGTCACCTGGTCACCCTGCAGCCCAACTCGGGCCTTCCCTGACTCCTGGAGGAGGAGAGTCATGATTTTAAAGAACTAGAGCACTGGGGGAAGCTGTTTATTGGTGGTCTGAGCTTTGAAACTACAGATAAGAGTTTAAGAGAACATTTGGAGAAATGGGCACACTTGCAGGTTGTGTGGTGATGAGAGGTGCCCAAACAGAATGCTCCAGGGCTTTCATTTTTTGACTTACTCTTGCATTGCAGAGGTGATGGAGCAATGTGTGCTTGACCATACAAAGCTGATGGGTGTATAGTGGAGCCAAAGAGAACTGTTTCTAGAAAGGATTCAACAAAGCCTGGCGCCCATCTAACAGTAAAGGAAAATTTTGTTGGAAATATTAAAGAAGATACAGTAGACTATAGTTTGAGAGATGACTTTGAAAAGTATAACAAGATTGAAACCATCGAAGTTATAAAAGACAGGCAGAGTGAGAAAAAGAGATTTGCTTTTGTATCTTTTGATGATCATGATACAGTTGATAAAATTGTTGCTCAAAAATACCATGCTATAATGGGCATAATTGTGAAGTGAAAAAGCCCTTTCTAAACAAGAGATGCAGTCCAGTGGATCACAAAGAGGTCATGGAAGTGGATCTGACAACTATGGGTCGTGGAGGAAACTTGGAGGTAGTGGAGGGAATTTTGGCTGTGGTGGAAACTTTGGTGGAAAAGGAGGCTATGGTGATGGAGGAGGTGGCAGCAGAGGTAGCTATGGAGGAGGTGATGGTGGATATAATAGATGTGGAGGTGATATTGGCAGCCACGGCAGTGGTTCTGGTTACATTAGTAGAGGAGGATATGCTGGTGGTGGATCAGCATATGGAAACCAAGGTGTGGATAGGGTGGTCATGGAGGAGCATATGATGGTTACTGAAGGAGGAAATTTTGGTGGTGGCAGCTATGGTGGTATTGGAAACTATAATGATTTTGGAAATTATAATGGACAACAGCAGTCAAATTATAGACCCATGAAGGGGGGCAGTTTTGGTGGAAGAAGCCCTGGCGGTCCCTGTGGTGGTGGTTATGGATCTGGTGGTGGAAGTGGTGGACATAGTAGCAGAAGGTTTTTGAAAATAACAGAAAAAGACTAGAGTTCTTAGCAGGAAAGAGAGCAAGGAGTTTTCAGGAAAGCTGCAGATTACTTTGAAACAGTTGGCCCAAATGCATTAGAAGAAATGAAAAAATCTGCCATGAAAAGAATGATGGTCCATAGTCAGAAAAGTTACTGCAGCTTAAACAGGAAACTCTTCCGGTTCAGGACTGTCATAGCCACATTTGCAAAAAGTGCAGCTATGGATTAATGTAACGTAGTGTCAATTAGATGAACATTTCTGATGTCTTTTATTTGTTGTAGCTTTTTCTTTTTATTACATTGGGTATATTGTCCTGTAAATTGTGGAAGTGGGACCAGGAATAAAAAAATAAGGAATTTTAAAAGCAAACAAACAAACAAACAAATTTTAAGACTTTGGTCAATTAAATAATGACAAAAAATATTAACAAAATATGATATTTGGTGAGTCAAGAAATTATAATATACTAAATTTTGACTCACTAACTACCCATTTGGAAATCTATTTAATACAATAGCAGTTGTTAGAAAAGAAGAAAAGACAAAATCAAAAAGATATTCAATATGATATAATTTATATTCATACATGTTCAAAAAGGACTAAAAGACCAACAATGGAAAGGACTATTTCTAAAGGACAGAGAAAACATTATAAATGCTTAGCTCAGTAGTAGCCTATTTGCCTAGGATGTGTAAGGCCTTGGGTTTAACCCCTAGCCTCTCAGAAACAAAACTTCTCTGAGACAGGATCAAGAAAAAACAGTATGTAATGTGCCCCCAAAAATATTTAATTGATTCAACAATGTAAAATGTTTGTTAAAACATTGACAATCAAATACAGTTACATGTCACTTAATGATGGGATATGTGCTGATGTGTGGACATCAATAAAGTGTTTTTACACAAACCTAGAGTGTATAAGTCAATCACTTGGTGTGGCCTTTTGACTCAATTAATAGACATGATAAACATGAGAGTATGAGCAATTGTCAGCATAAAACACCACATAACTTACAGTAAAATTTTTCTTTGTAAGTAGCATTACACTCTAAAATAATGATAAAAACTACAATATAATAAATACGCTAGTAACAGTTGTTTATTGTCAGTATTATGTATGGTGCATGATTGTATGTGCTATATACTTGCATAAGACTAGCAACACAGTGGGTTTGACACTATGCGACTATGACACTAGTGAGTATGACAGTGTCACTAGGATGGAGGAATTTTTCAGTCTCAACACAAACTGATAGTAGTGTCATCATATACCCAGCCCAGGGGGTATAGCTCAATGGTAGAGCATTTGACTGCATATACACAGTCTGTCCTTGATGAAAACATTATTTTGCAGCTCAAGATGGTATATTACAATATTAACATTGTATTGCTGAGATGTAGGAGTATAGAAAGTTTATTTATTTATATTTTGATATATAAATTATTTTTATCATCTATATATTACTTATATAATCAGAAAAAAGTTATTCAAATTTTGCAAGATACATGTTTTTTAAGAATCGCATCTCTAACAAATAGAATGCAGAAGATCATCAGGAAGATCATACACCCTGATGAAGTGGGATTCATCTCAGGGATGCAGGGATGGTTCAACACGCACAAATCAATAAATGTAATACACTATATCAATAGAGCCAAAGGCAAAAACCATATGATCATCTCAATAGATGCAGAAAAAGCAATTGACAAAATCAAACATGCATTTATGATAAAAACCCTACAAAAAATTGGAATAGACAGTCTCTACCTCAATTTGATAAAATCCATCTATGAAAAACCAATAGCCAATATCATACTAAATGGTCAAAAGCTGAAATCCTTCACACTAAAATCAGGAACAAGACAAGGATGTCCACTATCACCGCTCCTGTTCAATATAGTTTTGGAAACATTAGCCACAGCAATTAGACAAGAGAAAGAAATAAAAGAAATAAAGATAGGAAGTGAAGAAGTCAAATTGTCATTATTTGCAGATGAAATGACAATCTATAAGAAGACCCCAAGAACTCCACCAAAAGTCTCCTAGACTTAATAACCAAATTTAGTAAAGTAGCTGGTTACAAGGTCAACACACAAAAATCAATAGCTTTCCTCGACACGAAAAACAGACTCATTGAAAGAGAAATAGGGCAAAAATTCCATTCACAATAGCATCCAAAAACCTGAAATACTAGGAATCAACCTAACAAAAGAAATCAAAGACCTCTTCTCTGAAAACTATAGCACTCTGGAGAGAGAAATTGAAGATGATATCAGAAAATGGAAAGACATCCTTTGCTTCTGGGTAGGAAGAATCAACATAGTGAAAATGGCCATACTTCCAAAACTGCTACACAGATTCAATGCAATCTCAATTAAAGTTCTAGCAGGATACTTCACAGACCTTGAGATGCCTAGAGGTCTCATTTGACCCAGCTATTCCCCTGCTGGGTATCTTCCCCAAAGAATTAAAAGAATCATAGCACAGTGATATATTTGCACCCATGTTTACAGTGGCACAGTTTGTAATAGCTAAAATTTGGAGGCAGCCTAATTGCCCATCAACTGAAGACTGGATAAAGAAAATGTTTTTTTTAAAATATATAATGGAGTACTACTCAGCCATAAAAAATGAGAGATTAGAGACATTCACAGCTAAGTGGATCCACATTGAGGCCATACTCTTAAGTGAAATAAATAGGACACACATGTGTAAATACCGAATAGTTTCTCTAGTGTGAGAAACTGAAAGTGTAAATAAGGACTAAAAGGTATAATAGATAATGTGAAATAGGAAGAAAAGGGGCAAAGGGGAAGGCGAAGTGGGAGGGGTAGGGGAAAGGAAAGATGGGTATAGAATTATATGAGAAAATGAAAAAATGGAAACAAAGTCATCATAAATAAGGAGGGATGGAGGGGTTGAAGGGAGGGCAGGGGAATGGGGAAAAAATAAGAACCAAGAGAGATTATGTAAAGGTTCAAATTTCCAATGATGAATGTCATTATATTGCATACCTAAAATGTACCAATAAAATTAATTTTAAAAATTTTAAAAAGAAAGAATCGTATCTAAGTTTTCTATATTATATAGTGCTCCCAAGTGTCAATCACAACAGAATTGGTACAATTCTCAAACAACACATAAGTTCATTCTGCAACCTCCTTTCTTGTAACTATCAATGCAATTACCCCATGGCCCTGTAACATAACACTTCTTCCTTTTAAATAATAGCATTGAAAATTTTGCTTACTTTACCACAATATTTCCTAAGCATCGAGCCTTCAATTTTTGCATGTTGTCATCCAAAATCATAACTACAAAATAGAACGTGAATAAATAGAAATTTGACTAAAAGCATATATTAAAATTTCCCATATTTTTAATATTCAATGACAAAAACTCTAGCTTAAAAAAGTAATCTTTTAATTCTTATGAGGCCATAGATACATATAAAAAGCTAAAAACATCTTACAAACATACAAAGTGTGCATATGTTTGATTCCTAATAAGATCATAAATTTTCTTTCTGAATCTTCCTTAAATACATTGTATTTCATACATGCCGATAATTTTATGATCTACTCTTGTCCATTTACAGCCTTCCATTCAGGAAAGAATGTTTAAAAACTCTGTTCATTTATTAAAAATTAATGAAAATTGTTTTAAAATGCATCAAAAAGGTTATACACAATAAAAACAAAGCATTTAAAAGTATGAAAAGCTAAATATCTACTTAGATTTCAATTAGGTACATTTAATCTTCCAAACATTATCCCAATGCTTTTGGTTCTATTTTAGTAAAATCTTGAATGTGTTTACATCAAAGCTTGTATCCACATTCAGTAACTGCTACTGCAAACTAGACATGAAGATAAATCATCATCATCTAGGCTTTAATAGATTCTTTATGTGGCTCCATTCATCCAGGTAATTCCATTGTAAACAGCTAGAAGAGGATATTGTCCCCAGTGGGGTGAAATGAATTGCTCCTTCCTGGTGTTCCTGGAGCATTTCATTATAAAACACTATTTTGACACTTATTAGGAAAGTTATAAATATCTGTATCTCACTAGGTAAGTTTATTAAAGTTGGAGGCCATGCTTATTTCATCTTTTGTTTTCCCCAAACCCAGGACATTGCCCAAATTACTATGTGCTTCTGGGAATTTTCTACTACCTCTCAGTTTTTCTGTCTACATTGAGAGATGGATTCCCTTGTTATTGTGTTGGCATTAATAATTGTTTGGGGGAGAAATGTATATAAAGTGACAAGTTTGCCACAGTACTCAATGAATTTGAAATTATTATATTACATTTAGTGCTTCTTTACACAGAGTTATTCCCTTCCACAAAAGTATCTTGCTTTTTTTTATAATAACATTGAATAGTATATTATGGTTTTGAATCTTAATAACCACAAAACATAAGTATTATCAACCATAAATTGACTAGTTTTTCAGTTATAGAAGCTTAACTTGTCCTGTGTAAAACCAATAGCTATTGCACAAAGAAACCTCTGAATTGAAGCTCCATGAGGCATCAAAGTTTAACTCTTTCTTACAGCTAGATATAAAAGTGGAACTGAAATACTAAAGGGTAAATGCATTTAAGATCTCTCACAATCCGCACCCCTAAAAATGTCTCAACACAAAAGCAATTTTTCCAATTAAAAAAACAGGATGAATGAACTGTTCAAATGCAGGATTTCACTAAAGCTAGGTTCACCTATCCATGGCTAGAGAAGTCACTTCACAGAAAAATAAAAAGAATCTGCCCTACACAAAAAAATCTAAAGTGCCTTTCTATAAATATATCTGCTAGGTTAAACTAAATAATCTATACTTTAACTAGACATTGTCCAAGAAGGAAAATAAAATGTTTTTATATTAGAGGATAAAAGATAAATCTCTAAATTTTTGTAATTTATATGCAAATAGGTAACACATTAAGAATCACACTCAGTTCCCTGAAACTGGCTTTTTCTCATTAATCTATTAAACTAAACCTTGTGACTTATATAAATCGCATAACCTCTGTGACTCATTTTTCTTGACTGTAAAATGAATGTGTGGGTTTGAATCAAATCAGTTCTTCTGGCCCCTGTTAAGCATAAGGAGCACTACTAGCTAAGGTTTAATTCCAACCTTCTCTTTGTTGGTAGTGTTTTAATGCTTTGCTGTGCAGTGTTACAATTCAGCAGTCCTAGAATATGTACAAAATCATTGCCTCTATTTAGAAATATGACAACTTTTATGATCACTTCTATAAATTTAAGAACAAATATTGAAATGATGTCTGTCACATAAAGCTAACATCAAAGAAATGTTTTCTTTTAGAATGTTTACTCCCTTTTTATTTATTTTTAGCCAACAAGGTTCAAAGCCTTGTCATCATTCTTAAATTAAAAGGTAGTATGTGTTATGGAAGAAACTGCAGCTTTTGTAATACAAGCAAGGAAGCAAACAAAATTAAACACAATGGTTTTCATTGTCTAGAAGATCTAACCAGTTGTGCTAGCCTAGGAAAGCTTTTTAGTTTCTGTCAGAATTGAGTTACCCATTTCTAAATGACAATAGTATCTCTAAATAAAATATACTTCAGGACTAAATGAAATGATGTAATAAGTATTGGGCACTTAGCATGTGTTCCATACATAGTAATTTCATACACATTTTCTTTAAATGTCTTATAAAATGATATTTTCTTGGCTATCACAGCCATTTAGAAAATGCCCCTGTAAGGCCACACTATTACTTTTGATAGCAGAAATTAATGCATCCTTTTTTACCACAAGGCATTCATTTATTCATGTATTTATTGAGCACCTCATTTGTTTTATGCAGTATAGTATACAGTATAGAGAGAAAATACCAAATTTATTAACATTTCATATTTCAAATTACCAGAGTCATTTCTTACCATTATATCCTGGAACAGATTTTCCTGCTTGCCCTGGTGGAGGTGTTTTAGAGTTACCTAGTCCAACACATGATGCTGTAATTGGGGATCCGGTCTCTGGAGAAAGATACATGATTTATCACTTAATGTTTCCATGTGGAATTATAATGTTTCTCAGTGCATGCATATATAACCCAAATAGTTTGTCTCAGAATTCACTCATAATTGCATTCAGAATAGTGCAGATGTATTATTTAGAAGTTTAAAATGTATTATTTAAAAGTTAAAAAAATCTAGTAATTCACAATATATCCACAGTTGTAAATCTCAAGAATACACACTTAGAATAATTTATTTACTAAAGGAAATAACTTCTCTTCTAAAGAAAGGCTATTCTAATGTTCCCAGTGGTAAGTCAGAAGACATAAAGAATGGAGAATTTTGTGACCATGTATGTTCTTCAATGCATGTTAAAAACTGAAAGATCACTAGAAGATTTGTTTTCCTCGAGGCACTTAAAGTCATAGGTCAAAAGGCATTCTCTATATATAATTTGGGGGGGGGAATCATTTCACAATTAAATTATCATTAGGGCTGTCTGAGGCTTCAAAAGTCCCTTGATGCTGTAACGCTCAAGGGCAAGATTACATCAGCTGAAGATATCCTGGTTCTTTAAGAACTCAGTAGTAATACAAAAAGAGAAAGATTTCACCTGGGAAAAGGCAAATTCCTTATCAGGTAACTCATCCCACCTACTGTTGTAAGAACAGTTTGCTCATCTCACCATCCTAATCAACATAAGCTCCTCAAGGACCTAAGATTCTCATAGTCATAGGATTGCCACCACCCTCTGAGACATTTGATACTCCCTATGAACCCAATAAATGGTGGCAATCTTGGAGTGTCTTTGTCTTTGCCCAATCTGAGTCACTGACCTCCCCCCCTCCCCCCAACCCTCCATATACTTGAAATTACTCAAGTCTCTACTGTCTTTTTTTTTTTAGCCCTCACTATACCTTCTAGGCAGTTGAAGGATTGATGGACCACCAATAGTCATAATGTTTATCTTTGTAAATTACAGCTGTGTGCTAAATATTTCTTATTCTCTGGAAAAATAGCCTAAAGACTTAAAAATATATAAATGAAAAATATTATGCTCTGATTTTCTAAGAACTACACTTGCCTAGAAATCCTGTATCTCAAGCTGAATTTATCAAGTGGTTCCATTTTCCTATGCCTGAAGGTTTTGAAGCTCTAAAACACAGAAAGGCAAAGTGTTACCTGATAACCATAAGTTCTGAAAGTGATTACTTTTAGGGAAGAATATGTTTGGTATTCATAAATACATATTTGAGGTAAACAATCTTTTAGAGATGCATTATGTGTGGATGGCCAGAATAAGAGGATAATGATAGTGAAAAGTTTGGGGATTATATGCTTAAATTATATGCACAAAATACAGAAAACATACACCCAAGGGACTTACTTCCAAACCAACCATATCCAATACAATCCAAAAAATTAATAACATCCATCTTTCTAAGTATGCAAAAGGTATTCCTTCTACCATGATCTCTACCATTATCATACATTTATATCACTTTAGAAGGATGGGAAGAATTTATTACTGTTCTTCACCTTCCAGAGTAATTTAGTCTATTATTCACATATTTATGGATGGTGGCTCATCTGACATCAATAACAGAAGATGAACTCCTGAATTTTAAAATATAGTTCCTAAATCACACTATACTGGTGAAGATGATAAACCACATGGTCACTGCTGAGGTTCATCACCAAGTAACCAGAAGCAGAGGATCTCATTTTTTTAACAGAGTTTAAAACATAGTTTTATATCCTGACAAAAATAGGGGAGGAGCTATTTTATGAAATGGTATTCTATAGTCATGGAATGCTCCCCTCCATTTTTCTCACAGAACAATCAAAATATAGAGAGATACCCAGGTGGTTGGAAGGATTAACAGAACTTTTCTCTTCTGACTTTTTGAAAATGTTTACTATTCACCTCAGCTCTCCTTTAAAACTGATGTGAACGACAGAAGTAGAAGTGATAACAAGAAATAAGCTTGTGCAAAGAGCTATTTGAAGGAAGGTACATGAGATGCACAGGTACAGAAGCTTCCAGAACATATTAGGAGAGGAAACGGCTCATTTGAGATGCTTCCCTTTCAACACTGCTGGGAGGTAGCTACTAGGGTTAATCTATTTTGAAATTATTTCTTGTCAAATAATTTCTGCTCCAATCATTGGGAGTTCGAATTCTCTACAGTTCCTAACATCATGAGGTCTCCACTTCTTGTTAATTTATGGTTCCAGAATCTACAAGTGAATCACCAATAAATCTAGTGCCCACTACTGGCTCTGGAACCTGCCACCTAAAAGAAAAACAAACAAAAGATGCCTCAAAACAACAAACCTCAAACCTCACCATAGTTCATCCCATCTCAGTGTAGGTTCCTGTAAATGATATCAACCCTCTGTTCTTCTTATCCCACTGGGAGAAGAGGAGTGTGGGCAGAGGAGATGAAAATAATCTCTGCAGGTGTGGATGTCAACTTACTTAGACAGTGACTATTGGTAAACCAAAGCACTGTCAATAGTCACTGTCTAAGTAAGTTGACATCCACACCTCCAGAGATTCTTAAGCTTCTTTATATAGTGATTGCTTACTCATAATCTTTTAACTTTCAGTTGTTTTGTTATTTTATGATTGTAAGACAGTTATGAGCCAGACATGGTGGTGGACACCTGTAATCCCACCATTCTGGGAAACTGAAGTAGGAGGATCACAAGATGGAGCCCAGCCCAGGCAACTTAACAAGACACCGAGTCAAAATAGAAATAAGAAAAGGCTGTGGATGTAGCTTGGGGCAAGGACTCCCTGTTAAATCCCCAGTACTCAACAAAAAAAGACAACTTTGAAACTTAGTTTTCTATATAATTAATTGGACTCTAGATATTAAGGGAACTAAGTAGGATTATCCATTCATGTTACTTAAAATTTTTAAAGTTTATCCTTTGAAGATTAGTAATGAAAGTTTCTTGTTGACATTATTTTGATAGTCATTTAGGGTAATACAAAAGGGATTATAGCAAGCAATGTGTGGATGATAAAATCAGACAAAACTGCAGTGCCTAGGAACCCAACCAAAATAAAGTAATAATGAGGACAAATGTAGAATGAGAAAGCACCATGATGAATACTTTGGTTTCCTCTCTTTGTTCCTCTGAATATCTTGGGAGCCAAAGTCTGATCCATCTGCATACCAACATATACAAATGTGCTACAACCCCTTTCTCAAGATGGTCTAAATGCAGAATAGGATCTTAGCTAGAGAATGCCCCCAGACATACTGTAGTCCTTAAATGGAATCCTAAGGACTCCCAAAGCCCCTTTGCAAAAATGTTCTAAAAACATCTGCTTCACACTACCAAGGCTATAATTAACTGCCTAGGAGTTATCTAGGAGACAGGAAATCCAGATGTCATGTGGTGATTGGGAAATAGCTACATTAAACAAATAAAAACATTCTCTTTGAAGAAGAGAATTGGAAGCTTTATTGAAACAAATCTTTACAAACATGTCTAACCTTAGAAACATAAAATGCTCAGCAAATCACCAGTACAATTTCTTTAGATCATTGACAACCAGGAAAATGATGGCAAGATACTGGAGGGTATAAGGAATGCCAGATTGGCATAGTTATCTAATATCACATTAGAAGTTAATAGAGAAACTTCCATTTTTTCAAGGCCAAACCTTACAGTACTTTTATTGCCTATTACAGTGAAATATTACCTGTCTTAGTTACTTTTCTCCTCACTGGAACAAAATATCCCACACCTCCAATTTAAAAGAGGAAAAGTTTATTTTGGCACACAATTTGTAGAGGTCTCAGGCCATAGTTGACTGGCTCCAAGACACAGCAGCAGCATAGCAAAGAGGCATGGTAGAGAAGTGGCTCACAACATGGCAAGGACAGATCAAGGGAGGAGGAAGGGAGATAAACCATTCTAGGCCACGCCCCAGTGACCCACTTCATCCAACCAGACTTCACCTCCCAACACCACATTTGCTATATAATCATCAGTGGACTAATCCACAGATGTGTATCACACTCCCACAATCCAATTACAGCCCAACAGCCCCACCTATGAGTGTATGAGGCTTTGGGGGGGAACATCTAGATATAAACTGTAACATTATCCAAATGAGTTTTTCTTCAAACTTCTATTGTGAAGGGGAAAAAAGGAATAGAATTAATAGACATTTTTTTTTCAAATACAAATTATGCTATGTAAAATGCTAAGCACTTTTTATTGTATTTAATCTGACTCCTAAGCAATAGGGCAAAAAGGAATATTCTTTTATACATGAAAAATACTGACACATACTGAAGAAAATTTAAACAATTTTTCCTAGTCCACAAATTTTTTTTTTGAAAGAAGGACATGAATGAAATGGACAAGTATATCGCTTCTGAGGTTCTCACATAGAAATCAGAGAGTTAGTAGGGAATAGAAATCACCCAGACTATGTCACAGTAGATGAAGAAAAACCCATGTGGTACAAATCAATTATTAGGAATTATTCTTGATGAGCTATTATGTGTTATGTGCTATTGTTATAACTGGGGATACTGTAATAAACCGAAAGGTCCCAAATCCCTACCCTCAGGAAACTTCCACTATTCTAGTTGGGACACAATTTACAATATATAAAATGAAATACAAGTTATATTAAAGAATGATACATGGTAAGGGAAAAAGAAACCTCTCACAGGAGCTGAAATCCTTGGGGGTGTGTGCAATTTTATATTGGTTGGAGAGATGGTAACAGTTGAATAAGAGAAGAGACTGTATGTGACACTTATATATCTAAGGGAAAAGAATCTCAGGGGAGTAAACCTTAAGTACAGTTTCTGAGGTATGTTTATTCATAGACTGTTTGTGAATAATTGGACAAATCAATATGACTGAAGGAGAACACATGAAGTATTAACAGAGACAAGGTCAGAGAGGGAGTGAAGAAACAGATCATTTACAACTAACTCAAAGTTGTCATAAGACCTTAAGGTTTTAGTGTGAATCATGTT